CCACCACGAAAAGATTACCTGGTTGATCCTGCCAGTAGTCATATGCTTGTCTCAAAGATTAAGCCATGCATGTCTAAGTACATGCCGAAACAAGGCGAAACCGCGAATGGCTCATTAAATCAGTTATGGTTCCTTAGATCGTTTCTTCCTACTTGGATAACTGTGGCAATTCTAGAGCTAATACATGCAGTGAGCCCGAAGCCCCTCGGGGCGACGGGTGCTTTTATTAGACCAAGGTCAATCGGGCTTCGGTCCGTTTTGTGTGGTGACTCTGGATAACTTTGTGCTGATCGCACGGCCACGAGCCGGCGACGTTTCTTTCAAGTGTCTGCCTTATCAACTGTCGATGGTAGGTTATGCGCCTACCATGGTTGTTACGGGTAACGGAGAATCAGGGTTCGATTCCGGAGAGGGAGCCTGAGAAACGGCTACCACATCCAAGGAAGGCAGCAGGCGCGCAAATTACCCACTCCCGGCACGGGGAGGTAGTGACGAAAAATAACAATACGGGACTCTTTTGAGGCCCCGTAATTGAAATGAGTACACTCTAAATCCTTTAACGAGGATCCATTGGAGGGCAAGTCTGGTGCCAGCAGCCGCGGTAATTCCAGCTCCAATAGCGTATACTAAAGTTGCTGCGGTTAAAAAGCTCGTAGTTGGATCTCAGTTACAGGCGGGAAGTGCGTGGACACCACGTTACGGCCCGTGCTGAACATCATGCCTGTCGTGGCTTGGTTCCCTTCATCAGGTGCCTTGCTTTGGCCGGCGCGTTTACTTTGAAAAAATTAGAGTGCTCAACGCAGGCGATTCGCCTGAATAACAGTGCATGGAATAATAGAACCAGATCCTGTTTCTGTTCTGTTGGTTTTTGGAATACAGGATAATGATTAAGAGGGACAGACGGGGGCATTCGTATTGCGGCGCTAGAGGTGAAATTCTTGGACCGTCGCAAGACGAACTACTGCGAAAGCATTTGCCAAGAATGTTTTCATTGATCAAGAACGAAAGTTAGAGGTTCGAAGGCGATCAGATACCGCCCTAGTTCTAACCATAAACGATGCCAACCAGCGATCCGCCTGAGTTACTCAAATGACTCGGCGGGCAGCTTCCAGGAAACCAAAGTATTTGGGTTCCGGGGGAAGTATGGTTGCAAAGCTGAAACTTAAAGGAATTGACGGAAGGGCACCACCAGGAGTGGAGCCTGCGGCTTAATTTGACTCAACACGGGAAAACTTACCCGGCCCGGACACTGGGAGGATTGACAGATTGAGAGCTCTTTCTTGATTCGGTGGATGGTGGTGCATGGCCGTTCTTAGTTGGTGGAGCGATTTGTCTGGTTAATTCCGATAACGAACGAGACTCTAGCCTATTAAATAGGTGCGTGGTTCTCTGCACCTTGCACCCTTCTTATAGGGACAAGCGGCTCCTAGCCGCACGAAACAGAGCAATAACAGGTCTGTGATGCCCTTAGATGTCCGGGGCCGCACGCGCGCTACACTGAAGGAAGCAGCGTGTTTTTATCCCTGTCTGTAAAGACTGGGTAACCCGTGGAACCTCCTTCGTGATTGGGATAGGGGCTTGCAATTGTTCCCCTTGAACGAGGAATTCCCAGTAAGCGCGAGTCATAAGCTCGCGTTGATTACGTCCCTGCCCTTTGTACACACCGCCCGTCGCTACTACCGATTGAATGATTTAGTGAGGTCTTCGGACCGATACCCGGAGCGGCCTTTCGGTTGCGCCGGTGTGTTGGAAAGATGACCAAACTTGATCATTTAGAGGAAGTAAAAGTCGTAACAAGGTTTCCGTAGGTGAACCTGCGGAAGGATCATTACCGGATGTTATTTTGCATCGTTTTGTCTTTTTCCTCTTGTACGGGGAATGGACTCGATGTGCGAATTTATCTGGCGCCGATCCCGACCAAGCTTGGATGCCGTCGGGACGGCACAAAAAAAAACAACTGTGGTTCGGATGTGCCTTTTTCTTTGGGTGGCCTCCGTTCCTTTCGATGATGCGCCCAGCGGGATCCCTCTGCTGCCTCGATTGAGAGGAGATTTCAAGTGCACCGGGACAATCCGCGGGTTACAAAAGGCGCATCGCCCCCTTTTTCGTCTCTTCTCGAGGATCGCCCTTTTGTTTTGATTAACGAAGAGGCGTTTGAGAAGAGGCCTTTTTTTGCGCTTTCGAGATGGCATGGGATGTGCCGGGCGCGAAAAAAAACAACAACTTGTGTTTTGTCGTACTGATTGAAAAATCCAAAAACATTGAAACGACTCTAAGCGGTGGATCACTCGGTTCTCGGGTCGATGAAGAACGCAGCCAGCTGCGAGACTTGGTGTGAATTGCAGGACACACTGAGCACTTACTCTTTGAACGCACATTGCGGCCTCGGGCCTTCCCGTGGCTTCGTCTGTGTGAGGGTCGGATCATATATCAATAGAGGAGAATTTGTTTTCTACCTCGTTTTGACTGTGTCCGATCGTGGGCAGCACGCAGTTTGATG